ACAGGGTTTCTCTCTGTAGCTTTGGTCCCTGTCCTGGAACTAGCTCTTGTAGACCAGGCTGGCCTCGAACTCACAGAGTTCTGCCTGCCTCTGCCTTCTGAGTGCTGGGATTAAAGGCGTGCGCCACCATTGCCAGGTTTTTGTTTTTGTTTTTGTTTTCAAGACAGGATCTGCTGTAGAGCAGGCCATCATTAAACTTGCTCTGTAGCAGAGGGTGACCTTGAACTCTTGATCCTCCTGCCTCCACCTCTGATTACTACGATTACAGGCATGTGCTATATTACTCCATCTATGTGATACTGAGAATAAGCCCAGGGCTTCGTGCATGCCAGGCAAGCACCGGATAACCCTGAGCCACACCCCCACTCCTGATTAGATTCTTAACATTATCTCCCATGGTGTGATGATTTGAAAGAAAATAGCCCCCATAGAAAGTAACACTGTTAGGAGGTGTGGTTGAAGAAAGTGTGTCCCTGTGAGGATGGGCTTTGAGGTCTTCTGCTTCCTGCAGGTCAAGACGTAGAACTCTCAGCTCCTTCTCCAGCAACGAGTCTGCCTGCAATCTGTTACGTGCCGCTATGCCCCACCATGGTGATAACGGACTAAACCTCTGCATTGTAAGCTGCATGCTATCCAATTAAGTGTTTTCCTTTCTAAGAGTTGCTGTGGTCATGGTGTCTTCACATCAATAATGCCCTAAGACACATGGATTTCACAAGGATGGGCACAGCCTTCTGATGGGGTTAAAAGAGCAGTTATCATGTCCCCTTCAAACTGCATCCCAAGATCCTATTGGAAGGACCAAGAATCTGTTTCTCTCTATCCTGCCCCCCTCCCATGTCCAAGGAGCTTCACCACAGTATACTTATGTGTCGTTTCTTCTTCTCTTACATTTGTTCAATGTGAACTTTCCCGGCACAGTAACTTATTTCCTTGCCGAGGACGGGCCTGGGCCTCCCACATCCTAGCAGGCTGTCTGTTTAGTTCCTGACAGAACTTCACTAAGTTACCCAGGTGTTTGAATTCTGATTATTCTTGCCTCAGGTTTATGTCATAGTTTTTGTGCTTGCCTTGGAAATGTAGGGATTTTATTATTATTACATTTCTGTGTGTGCATGTATGTATATCTGTGTATATGTGTCTGTGTGTGTGAGTGTATGTGTGTGTATGTATGTGTCTCTGTATATCTGTATGTGTGTCTAGTGTATGTTTGTGTGTGTGTGTGTCTGTATGTGTGTGTGTCTGTATGGCCAACAAGGGGAGCTCCTTACTGGAAGAAGACCTGTATGTGTATGTGTGTGTGTGTGTGTATGTATTGTGAGTGTATGTCTGTGTATGTCTGTGTGTGTCTGTGTGTCTGTGTGTGTGTGTGTGTGTGTTCATATACGCTCAGGACAACTTGTAGGAGTAGGCTTGGCAGTCAGTCCTGCCTGCTTTCCTCTTTCCCACTGGCCTGGCATCTTCCCCTTCCTCATTTCCACTCAAGCCTCTCTAGGTAATGCAACCAAGCTCAAGCAATGAGTAAGGTTTCACTGAGCACTCCTGGTGGGAAGCCTTTTTTGACATCTCCACCACAGGCTACACAGCAGTTTCTTTCTTCTGTTTGTGTGTCACTACCACAAGGTTATGGCACAGAGGGGAAACTGAGGCCCAGGGAGGCCCCGAGGGCTGTCTTTACCTGCTCAGTCATCTAGAAGTTTATTTTTTTTATACTGAGAGTCTTGGCACCTGATAGTAGCAAGTCACACTTTGTCACCTTCCCTCAGGCCCCATGAAAACCCAGAGAGACAAGAGGCCTGTGCTCACCCCTCTCCCCAGCCTAGGACTTTCCCAGAGGCTCAGGTTGTCTGTGATTCTCTGGGGTTTCAAGGCCCTTGGCAGCTTTTCCACAGATGTGGCCGAGTTTTGGTGTCACCAAAGGGCCAACAAGGGGAGCTCCTTCCTGGAAGAAGACCTGCATGAGTTTCTAGGGCTTCAAGTCGGATAGCAAGTTGTTTCTCGTGTATGTTGATGGCAACAGTGCTTACCTGGATCTCAGGTCTTGCCTGATTATGGGCAGCTGAGCTAGGCTGGAACAGGGGGAACTCTAACAGATCTGGGAGGCATCTTTTAAGGGGGTTTAAATTACAAGAGAAAAGCCAGGTGTCCCCAGCCTATGGTAAAGTCTACATGGCTCACCCTACATGGCCCACGCCACATGGCCCACCATATATGGCCCACCAGAGCCTGTTTTGCCCTCCTGTGTCCAACCAGCTGACTCTTTGGGTTCAGGCGGGACCCAAATTAGAGTGTCAGGGTAAATCATGCAGCTTCAAACCCAGGGAGCATGGCTGTCCCAGCCGGGCACTGGCACTTCTATAGCAGAAGACAGTCATCTGAGCTGCAGAGCGGGGCTGGGGCCCTCTCCTGCCACATACAACCATAGTTCCTCCTCCTACTGGCCTGGCATCTCCCCTCTTCTCTCACGCTCTCAGGGAATGCAATCAAGCACGAGTAATGAGCAATGGTTTCTCTCAGTACTCTAATAGAGAGCCTCTTTTTAAATCTCCACCACAGGTGTATGGCTTCTTTATAGATGCTCCCACTTTACAGGCCGGGGAAACTGAGGCCCAGAGAGGCTCTAGGGGTGTCCAGCCTGTGACTCACAGTCTGTATGTAGCCAAGGATAGGTATGAACACTTTGACACACACAAAAGATTTGTGTATGTGATTTTTTTTTTTTTACTGGGTGGCACAGGTTTAAGCATGAGCTCTGTAGATGACAGTGTTGGGTCCCAGTGTCAAAGGGTTTGAAACAGCTGGACAGTGCCCCGGTGGAATAGAATACAGCTGTTTCTCTGTGAACTTCACAAAGGGGCCCACAACATCTGTGGGACAGGATACACTAGAGACGACCTCAGTCTAGCCTTACTATCATGGTCCCCTGACCCAAGGCAGCCTGGGTCTACAAGCCTAGACAATGGCCACTGGATAGTTGTCACCATCACGCTGTACCTCCTGCCACATAGAAGTCAAGTACCCGTGACTTCGAGAAGCCACTGCTCTGGAAGCATGAGTCTGTAAGGTGATACAGTGTATGACTCTCAGATTAAAGGGGCAGTTAGCAGTGATAAAGCCCTTCACTGTAGGAGGAATCCAACCTGTCTCCCTTTGTCAAATGTCCTTTCCAAATTGCTACAGGAAAAGCTACTCTTTGCGGTCCGTGTATTCCCAACTTTCCTTGCCTTCCGGAGCACCCTCCTGGACAAGCGCCACAATCAGTGGCTCGCAGTCCTGACGTTGTACCACTAAAGCAAAGGGAGGGCGCCGCTGACTGGCTTGCTCTCCTTGCTCTCTCTCTCTCTCTCTCTCTCTCTCTCTCTCTCTCTCTCTCTCTCTCTCTCTCTCTCTCTCATGTGCTTTTCAGAATGTGACAACCGCTGGCCAACAGAGGACAGCAAATACATTTTTTATGATCCCGGGAAATTCAGTCCAGTCACGTTTTCGCGCAGAGAAGCTGGGCTGTGGAGAGGGACAAGGCGTGTCTCGGTTATTCGGATCCTCCTTGACCAAGAGGGATGGTGGCTTCTGCGACGGTTCTAGAGATCCTTGGGTAGGGGTGTGGGAGGGCGATTTCAGGAACCGGCTAAGCTAGGGCAAACTCCCTAATGTTGAAACCAGAAGCACCTTTTGGAAGTCAGGGGACAGCACCAGAGGTCAGGACTTCGCCAAGCAGAATGTGTGCCCTTTGGGCCCCACCCCCATTTCCAGAGCCTGGAGCTGCCAAGAGTGCGGGTGGATTCGGAAGGAGACAGCTCAACTTTTCGATTGGGTCTGAAGATGGGTTAGTCTGGCGAGTAACTCTCGGGAACTGAGTGGAGCATACCCTTGAAATTTAGACTGGGGATCTTCCAAGGCACTGCAGTCACCTTATGAGATTTGGGATAGACGAGGAGTGGGCCGAAGAGCTGGGGGCGCTTGCCTGCTTCTGTGTGTGTGGGGGGTGGGGGGGGTTTGGTGAAAGCTGGGGGAGGGGCGGAAGGCGCTCCTTGCGGCAGGCACCGGGAGTTCCCAAAAGAAGGGGGCAGAGCCGAGGGCGGGTCTGAATCTTAAGTGGATGCCTCCCCATTTCGGGCACCCCGGCAACTCCCACCTCCAGCTCAAGGATCCCTGGAATTCTGCCTGCTCACCACTTCAACACCCCCAGTCTCCCCCAAGGAAGGCACAGTGTTATCTTCCTCTCTTGGCACATTAGAAGTGGGGAGTCTTCGCCCTCCCCAAGTATGGATAGCCCTGGAATCTGTTGTGTCTCTCTCCGCATTCCCCGCAAGGGTCACCACTGACATGGCCCGGGCCGCATTTCTAGGAATGCGGGTGTCCACGGACTACATCTGGAGAGGGTTTCTAGGAAGGTAGCCCCCAGCCACCCCCACCCACCTAGCCTCTGGGGCGGACTAGCTCAGCTGGAAAGCTCTAGCCCTCTCCCGGGCCGGGCTGGAGAGTAGCCGCCTCCCTAGTACGGCCAACCCCCTGCCGGCCCTGCCCCCGCCCCGGGGCGTAGCCGCCCCGGGGCGGGGGCAGGGC